TCCAGGGAGTCTCCCCGCAGTAGCAGCAGGAGCAGGGGCAACAGTGCCCATGGGAGGAGTGATGGACAACAAAGAAAAGAAGAACTTGCTCTTGCAGCTACGGGACAAAGTCTGCTCTACAGGCCCCCTTTGGGCAGAGGTAACTGGGCAGCCCACGTGAGGACAAAAGCCGTGGAGCACATTAAGTGGCTTGTTGAAGTTCCAGGGAGTCTCCCCGCAGTAGCAGCAGGAGCAGGGGCAACAGTGCCCATGGGAGGAGTGATGGACAACAAAGAAAAGAAGAACTTGCTCTTGCAGCTACGGGACAAAGTCTGCTCTACAGGCCCCCTTTGGGCAGAGGTAACTGGGCAGCCCACGTGAGGACAAAAGCCGTGGAGCACATTAAGTGGCTTGTTGAAGTGGCTGTACACACAATATGAGGGGGACTAATTTAGCTACAACTACTCAAGGAGAGATCCTGGAGTCATTGTGGCTAGTTCTCTGAAAACATCCACGCCGTGTGCAGCGGCAGTCAAAAAAAAAAAGCAAATAGAATGTTAGGAATCATTAAAAAAGGGATAGAGAATAAGACAGAGAACATCTTACTGCTTCTATATAAAACCATGGTACGTCCACATCTTGAGTACTGCGTACAGATGTGGTCGCCTCATCTCAGAAAAGATATATTGGCATTGGAAAAGGTTCCGAAAAGGGCAACAAAAATGATGAGGGGTTTGGAACGGGTCACATATGAAGAGAGATTAAAAAGACTTAGACTTTTCAGTTTAGAAAAGAGGAGACTAAGGGGGGATATGATAGAGGTCTATAAAACCATGACTGGCGTGGAAAAAGTGAATAAGGAAAAGTTATTTACTTGTTCCCATAAGAACTAGGGGTCACCAAATGAAATAGGCAGCAGGTTTTAAACAAACAAAAGGAAGTTCTTCTTCACACAACGTCTAGTCAACCTGTGGAACTCCTTGCCAGAGGGGGCTGTGAAGGCTAGGACTATAATAGAGTTTAAAGAGAAGCTAGATAATTTCATGAAGGTTAGGTCCATAAAAGGCTATTAGCCAGGGGATAAAATGGTGTCTTTGGCCTCTGTTTGTCAGAGGCTGGAGAAGGATGGCAGGAGACAAATGGGGTTGACTTGATGTGCTGCATTTCACAGGAGACGCAGCACCAAATCTAGCAGTGGAACTTCTTGCCAGAGGATGCAGTGAAGGCAAGAACTTTAATAGGGTTAAAAAAACGAGCTAGATAGCCGCTGATAGACCTGACTTCCATGAATCTATCAGCCAGGATGGGTAGGAATGGTGTCTCTAGCCTCTGTTTCTCTGGAGGTGGGTGACAGGAGAGAGATCATGTGAGGATTATCTGTTCTGTTCCCTCCCTGTGGGGCATCTGGCATTGGCCACTGTCGGCAGACAGGACACTGGCCTAGATGGATCTTTGGTCTGATCGAGTGTGGCTGTTCTTATGAGAGAGAGTCCCAGAGAAACAGTCTCAAGGACCGGGCGAGGCAGGTACCTAAGTTATCAATGGGCCAGCAAGAAGATGCCTGTCTGAACTCAAGAATTTAGGCCACAGCGGGTTGCTGCGGGTGGGCCATATACAGCAGGTGCAGAGCCAGAAGGCAAGACTGAATGCTTCAGGAGCATCTTGCAGAATTGTATAGACCTTCCCTAGGGGGCAGATGGCAGAGATGTACCAGAAGCCACTGCCAGCAGTGCTGATGAGCAGGGGGTAGCTGAGCCTTCTTCTGCCCCAATCCCCGCAAAGACTTGGGGGCACATGGCACCAGAAATCCTTCCTGCTTCCAGGAGCCCTGCAGATGATGCCAAGAGTAGAGCTGGCCCACACCCGGAGCTCCCAGTATTTTGGCATGTGGTCTTGTTCCAGTTCAGTCCACAACCACAAGCTGGGAATGCGGAGAAATATTCATTTCAGAAACACGGATGCCTCCCCAGATCTTGTTGGTTTATGAAACTGATAAAGTTCTTGTTGGTTTCACAACTGCTGTTCCCTAAGAGCAGCTGTGAAACCAACAAGAATTGTGTCTACTTCAGACTGCAGCTGCCAGGGCTCCCGAGAGCTGCTGCTCCAGGGCAGCTGCGGCGCTGCAGAGCTAAAAGCCCTGGGTGCCCAGTGGCTTTCCAGGAAACAAGGCAGGCGTCCAGTGGAACCCCGCCTGTGATCTGACAAAAGTTTTATCAAAATCAAAAGATTTGCACTAAACATTTCTAGTTTGACCAACGGGTATTTTCTGACCAAACTCTGTCTGTGAGCTGTTAAGTGAGCCGGATAGCCGGATGGCTGTGTGTCCAGCCAGAAATGCGGAGATCACACACAGAAAAGAGCTGTGGGACCCCAGTTTAGCGAGTCCTTTGCATTATTCCTGAGCAGTTGCAAATGATGAGCCAGGCTCTCCAAATCATGAGACTTGCTTAGAAAGGATGGGATTTTTAAGAAATGATAACTGTTGGATTAGTTTCATTCATCTTCTAGTTTTTGAGTTTTATGGGGTCATGTTTATCAAGCCTTTCTCCACAGCCATGAGGGCTAAAACCTTAGTATTATTTTTGTTCTAATGAGAGCTGAGATTCTCACTTAATTACCTCTCCCGAGGATCTGGGGCTTTAAGTAAAACACCCCAAAATCATAAGAGTTAGCAACACTGCCTGGCTGGCCAACAGGGCTCCTCAGTAAGGTAGGAGCCGACTTCACGGTTCCTTTGTTGCATATTCTGCAGTAGAATTAAATCACAGCTTGCACATGAGCCATCTTTGGCATCTAAGGGGAACGTTGCCTAGATCTTAGGTGTATGTGAGTGCAATGATTGGTCTGTCACTAGACGGACGTCGCCAAATACCTGGTGAATCTCTTGAAGGCCTATAAGCTCACCAGACGTTCTCTGTTTGAACAAACCTGGTGTTGGAATCTTGAAAGCCATCTAGAGCAATACGCTATGTGGGGCACCCAATCTGTGCTTGGAACTGGAGTAGCACCCCCCTGAGACTGCAGCTTATGAAATCTACTGAAATAGCTCCAGCTTGGCTGATACCGTCAAATGCCAGGATGGCAACAGGGTTTTTAAACTTTCAAAAGTGTGACATCCCTCTCTGCTTTATCTCAGATCAGCACAGGCTGTCCGCAAGCAGCTGGCAAAGAGCTTGGGCTTTTCAAAACAGGTTAGGTAGAAACTGGATCCAAACCTTGAGTTGTAGTAGGAATTACATGTCGCTATATTTCTATCAAGATCTGCCTCTTTCCATCCTCTTCCGTGACTGCTGTTCGTTTTATGTTCAAGCGTTGTGGTGCACATTTGTTCTCCACTCTTGGACTATGTCTGCACTCGGGGCTTCTTGCGCGAGAAATAGGCAAATGAGGCTAAGTGTGGAATATCACCGAGCCTCATTTGCATACTTAATGAGCCGCCACTTTTGCAGAAGAGGTTCTTGTGCCAGAAGGAGCTGTCTACACTGTCCCTTCTTGCGCAAGAAAACCCCTCTTGTGCAATGCCGTTATTCCTGAAAATAATCAGCATAGCGGCAACAGGGATCCGAGAAGGAAATGCAAACGAGAGTGCAACATATGCAAATGAGTGCTCCATTTGCATTTCCTCTTGCGAAAGAGGCTCGTAGTGTAGACGTAGCCATAAAGTTTGTGGACAATACCAAGCTGGGGGGGTTGCAAGTGCTTTGGAGGACAGAGTCGTAATTCAAAATGATCTGGACAAACTGGAGAAATGGTCTGAGGTAAATAGGATGAAGTTCAATAAGGACAAATGCAAAGTCATCACTTAGGAAGGAACAATCTGTTTCACACGTACAGACTGGGAAACGACTGTCTAGGAAGGAGTCCTGCCGAAAGGGATCTGAGGGTCATAGTGGACCACAAGCTAAATATGAGTCAGCAGTGTGATGCTGCTGAAAAAAAGCAAACATGATTCTGGGATACATTAACAGGAGTGTTGTAAAGCAAGACACAAGAAGTAATTTTTCTGCTCTACTCTGAGCTGATCAGGCCTCAGTTGGAGTACTGTGTCCAGTTTTGAGTATCACATTTCAGGAAAGATGTGGAGAAACTGGAGAAGGTGCAGAAAAGAGCAACAAAAATGATGAAAGGTCTAGAAAACACGAGCTATGAGGAAAGACTGAAAAAATTAGGTTTGTTTAGTTTGGAAAAGAGAAGACCGAGAGGGGACATGATAGCAGCTTTCAAGTACCTCAAAGGGTGTTACAGAGGAGAAGGGAGAAAAATTAGTCTCTTTAACCTCTCAGGACAAGAAGCAATGGGCTTAAATTGAAACAAAGGAGGTTTAGGTTGGACATCAGGAAAAACTTCCTACCTGTGAGGGAAGTTAAACTAGAATGATTTGCCTTGGGAGGTTGTGGAGTCTCCATCATTAGAGATGTTTATCTAACCTGCTCTTAAACATCTGTGACGGATGATTTAGATGATGCTTAGTCCCGCCACGAGTGCAGGGACTGGACATGATGACTTCTTGTGGTCCCTTCCAGTTCTAGTATTCTATGACTCTATGAAGTGAGGTGTGTTCCGATTGCACACAATATTGACTGTGGGAGCTGTGCACTCCCTCTGCATCTAATCAAAGTTCTGCACACTGCAAATTCTAGGTACACAAGTGCAGTTAGCAAGACTACCCGATCTTGGCGGACAGTTTTGGTTACAACAGTTTTGCAGCCCACTCACTAGCCTAGGTTGCCCCTCACTGCCATAAAGTAAGAGCATTTATGCGTTGCATCAGCAGGAGAAGGTAATGCATGGGCTTACTAAACTCGCTTGTGTTTTTTCAGGTGTTGAGTCTTTGGTCCCATTTTTCTCACACAGAAAAGAAAAGTTAAACTACATTTCTTTTAAACTGTAAAACCAAGTTCTGTTTTTTGAAAGGGTGAAGCAAAATGTGCACAGTTCTGTGAAGAGCTTCATGATCACAACCAAATAAAAATGTGAAATATAATTTTAGTTTACTAGAACTCCATGAGGGATCAGGATGGCCCTGAGATCAGCTACATTCTGCTTCCACTGTTCCCAGGTCGGGGTGCAGTCAGGTGAGTCGCTTAGCAGGTGGCAGAGCCAAAGCGCTGAGCTGTTACAGGAGGGGGACAGGAGCCTTTTGCAATCGTACGGGGAAGACTAATTGTAGTGCTCCACTTGCATATGCTGGCACTGCAGTGGTGTGTTTGTAGCAGCAATTGTGCTGAGTTTGTGCACCCCTGTGAGTGGTGCTGGGTGGCAGAGTTGCTGGTTTTCTCTGAAATGTGCACAAATTAGGTATACAAAGGGCTTCTCTCACTGATGAATGATGGCTGTAGAGTCCGGTTTTCTTCTGAAACTCCAAGTTGCTGAAATGTCTTGTATATCTTAGATTTCATAATGAAGTTATTTAAAAGACTAACTGTAGTCATTAACTGTTCTGGCTTTAAATTCATCCCGTTGTTTCACATCGCTAGTTAGACATCCTTCAAGTGGAACTTCATAATGAGAAGAAAAGCAACGGAATGTTTAGTTCAGTTGGTTAATTTTATTTACAGTACACAGCATGGGAAATTATTTCAACTAAATATGTTAGAAATCAGCAGCTGTGGAAACCCTTTGTTACAGCGATTAAGTCCAAAGGCAGCGTCAGAACAGTATTCAGGGCAAAATAGCTACATTTCCAGCTTAAGCTTCAGTCCCGGTGCTGCTGTATAATGAAATGTGCCACTCCATTCCAGGCCTTGTGTATCTATAAATTCTCCTTCACCTTCCAGCCTGTAACAGTGTAGAACCAATCTGTTCATGGAGCATGCAATCAGTCTGCTGTTTACACAGTGCTGAGGACTCTAGATGGATTCCCAGACTAGCAGGAGTTGGGGCACTAGGCTCCAGAACTCTGCCCCGACCCCCGCAGCTTTACAGACCAAGCAGTTCCCCTATACGAACTTGACACTATCAGCCACTGGAGGGCTGCTGAGAGAAAATACATCAAGACGGGGGCTCCTGTGTATCCCAAACATTCTTGCCAAAATGGCAGGCGCTCCCTGTTTGCCCTCACCGAATGCTTACATCTTGTGTTTCAATTCATAGTGCCACCAGAATCCCGAAAATAGTTTTAAATTGCAAACTCTGAAATAGCAAATACGAATTTAAAAAGGAGCCTCCTAGTACAGCATTAAAGTAAATGCAATATTAATTGTCCCCAAAATACTGGTTTGGTTTTAGGTCTGGATGCAGATTTATATTTGGTATCTGACTGGGATTCAGCCAGCAGGGACTGAGGTTTAAAAACACTGTGGGTTTTTTTTAAACTTACATAACCACTGGTCCCATTTCTAGCACAACTATATTCTGTTCTCTCTGTGCATCACCAGCAAAACTATTCTGATTCAAGAGTCTTCACTGTTTGTTAACAACATAGAAAAAGTGCAGCTTGCTTTTCATACACTACACAGAGGTGGTGGTTGTATTAATTTCAAACCTGAGCAAATTTGCTGGCACTTATTTAAGGAGAATGAATGCAAACCCTTCTGATGTCAGTTTTAAAGTCAATTTTCTGATTAGATCCACTTTCTGTTCCAGGGACATACAATGTTTTCCTCATACAAAACTCCTCATTCACAATTTTGCATCAACAGAATCAGCTGATGTTTTATGAGATCAGCATATGGTTTTCCCATTAATCTTAATGATAAAAAATAGACCTCAAGATCCAGCATTTTCTCATCACTATGGAATTTAAATTTGTCTTTAAAAAATTGTGTATCTAGGAATAAGAATGCAGGACATGTCCACTGATGGGGGGCATGAGGAGGAGAGGCAAAAGGGGCTAGCCCTAGCCCTTCCATCCAAGGCCCTACCCCTTCTGGGGGCACAGGCCCCATCTTTCCCAGGCGCCCAACAGGTCTGTTTCCCGCCCCTTGGCCATACCAAGAGATGTGGGGTTATGCTTAATTTGTCATACAAGAGTTGCACTACCAATTTTTTCACATTCGTAATTGATGCAGTATGTCCTGGGAATATGAACTTTCAAACCTAGAGGTGCTAGGGCAAATTAAGCCCTGACAAGGGATTGGATCCTTTTTAACAGTGACTTTTAAGCCAGCTCCCAGCACGCACCATCTCCTGAAGAGCTGGCTACCCTCCACATGTAACTGCTAAAGTTTTCAGCGGTTACATGGTTAGCCAATTGCATTCATTTTAACATCCCTATTTACTATCCTGCAGTATTAAAACAAACATGCGTGGAAGGAGCAGCCTACATGCCGCTCATGTCTTGCATTAAGCTTACTTGTTTTCATTGAAATTTCCAATGTACTTTGCTCCATTTGGAAACAAATAGGTTCCTAGTCCATGAAACATGTTGTCCTTGAACTCGCCTTCATAAACTGCCCCTGAAGGATGCTCGAGCCTTCCAGTGCCATTCATCTACGTTTAACAAGGAATTGAGGAAGTGGGTTAATATTTAGTCTTAAAATACCAATGTACACTAGTGTCTTCAGACAACTTTCTTTGACTGTACTACCTTACTAAAGAAAATCGGGTAGGGCAACTAATACCTTTTAGCGATTACCTAGGCTCTCCATTGTGCACAATTTTCAAATAGGTCTCAGAGCTTTTTGGCCAAGGTAACTATATAGTAAACCCCTTCTCCTATGAAAAATGTCATGGGATCTTTAGCATCCAGAGAGGAGAGCCTCAGCTTTTAAACTCTCACCCCAAAACCCCACACATAGTAAACTGAATGGTAGCACACACGTGTACTCCATAAAGCAGAAGAGTTGAATTAACCCTGTCAGATTTTGATCCTCTGCTTTTATAAAAAGCAAGTATTACATATTTGAGACTTAGACCAAGAAAATACAGCACACTCTTACTACAAATAGGGACAATCTTGATATTTGGGACTTTTTCTTATATAGGTGCCTATTATTCCCCACCCCATCCTAATTTTTCATGCTTTCAATCTGACTGCCCTAATTACAAGCCTAATTGTTATCAGACAAAAACTATGTTTAGTGACAGTTCCAGAAGGAAAAATCCCATCTACTCCTTACCAGAATGGAAATAGGAAGTTAAGGAAAAAGACTTGTACATTTCTTCATATTGTCTACAATGGTGTCAACAACATACTCCAAGCAACACATACCCTAAAAGCAACACAATACACATCCCCAAAACCATATACATCCCAGCTTCATCAAACTGCCTCTAAAAGAAAACTTTAATAGTTTACTTGTTTCTGTTTATGTTCTGTTTATTCTTGCATTTCTCTCAGTTTGGGCAATCAAAATCAATAACTTGGGTTTGGTTTAACATTCTTTTAATGTAGCTTTTTTATTGAATTATCTTAAAAACAGAATTAAAAATATCATTTTAGATCAAGTGCTGACAGGAGAGGCTCTTCCTAATTGCATTCAGCTATTTGTCTGGCTACTCTGTAGCACCCTTTTTTTCCCCTCAACAACATTTTTCACAGTACAGTAAACTTCCGATAATCCGGCACCTTTAGGACCCAGTGGGTGCCGGATTATCAGATATGCTGGACTATCGGAAGGGGGGGCTATGAGGGGTCTGGGATGGGGTGGGGTGGGGGGATGCCACCCAGGCCCCTCATAGCCTCTCCTTCCGATAGTCCGGCTCTGCCCCAGGCGTCCCTGATTCAGCCGCTGCTGGTCAGTTTCAGCAGCAGCTGAATCAGGGGTGGCCGCCGCAGAGCAG